ATATAAATACACATATATATATAAATACATATATATATAGCATCAGTCCTGCAATTGTGGGGACCCCAAACTCTCCTAACATCAAAATTTCCTGAGGGGTCAGGCTGGTGCCCCATCTCCACCAAGGCCTTGAGTACTTAGAACAAGAAGTCCCCCGAAGGAGCCCACGGCAAGTCAAGCCCCACAGCTCTCCTGCCTCCCCCATGTGGCTCCTACATTCTGTCTCCTCCTTTGGCATTTCCCCCAGTCTCCCCACCTGCCCAGCAGGGGGCCAGCGATGACACCCCAGGGACTCTCCCCATCCCACCCAGTTGCCTGTCTTCTTCCTCTCTAACAGCTGAGGGGTGATAAGAAGGCAGCACCACTCCCCCACCCTCCACACCCCATTGTCCACGGAGAAGCATGCTGTCCCCCAGTGGCTGTGGCTAGCTGTGGCCTGGGGAGGAGAGGGTGGCAGGCTCCTGGGAGTGTGTCAGGTCCAGTCTGTCCGGGGTGAGAGTTAAGGAGGCACTTGAAGACACCTCAGAAAGGTCAGGAGCCACCAGGTTTCCCAGGAGCCTAGGTAGCGCTTATCCCATCACTCCCATCCACCTGGGGACCTGCCTGATCAGGTTCATCCCTGACCCCTCGCTCTGAACACTTGTGGTACTTTCGCCTGCTCTTCAGATTTAACACGCGCCCTACTCACACACTCCCGCCCAGCACTGTCCAGCAAAGCGCCTGTCACCAAGTGTCAATTAACCACGAAGCGACATAAACCAGATCAACCTTCCCTGGAACGCGTGGCAGGTCCTGAGCTCTGGGCAAGGGCCTTGCAGGCCTTGGGCTGCTCAGGCCTCACAGCAGCCCCGAGAGGTAGGGGAAGTTGTCAACCCCATTTTACAGTTGAGGAAACAGAATCTCAGGGAAATGAGGTAATTTCCTGGCTCACCCAGCCAGGAGGGGCTGAGTTAGGAATCACTCTAGAGCCCAACTCCTCATCAGGAGGTATTTGGCTCCTCATCAGATGGTCACTGATGGAGAAGGGGGTTAGGGATGAGGGAGGGATGTGGCTCCTGTAGGTGCATGGGGAGTGAAGTGAGAGGTGAGAGAGTGTCAGGAGCAGGAGAGGATTCCAGAAAGTGATGTGCAGAGGGGATGTGCAGTGTGGATAAGGGGGTGAGAAGTGGAAGGGCAAAGTGTGTGAGGGGTGAAGGAGGTGAGCAGGGGAGGGGGGAGGTGTGAGGGGTGAATCAGGAGGGGAGCGGAGGGGAGTGTCAGGCATGTGAGAGGGTAGATGGGGGAGTGGTATAGGATCAGAGGTATGAGGGGGATGAGGAGTGAGGAGTGAAAGGGCAGTGTGAGGACACAGTAGGAGGTGGGGGGAGTGTCAGGTGTGTGTGTGGGTGTTTGGGTGTGTGAGGTGGAGGGTGGGAGGTGTGAGGGCATGAAGAGTGAAAGGGCAGTGTGCGGACAATGGGTAGTGGGGGTGTCAGGTGTGTAGGGGTGTAAGAGGCACGAAGTGGTTGAGGGAGAAAGTGGGAAGGCATAAAGGAGTGTGAGGCGTGGGAAGGGCCCTGAGGGTCCCGAGGTCCTGAGCAGAGCAGAGGATGGAGGAGGCGTGTGGGCAGCACTGGGAGGGGTGGGTAGGTCTAAGGGGCTTTGACAGTTCGGTTTTAGTCCCTGTCCACATCCCCAGCTGCCGCAGCCCCACCAACCCTGGCCTCACTGCCAGGCTCATTTCAGGGATGGGCGGAAATTTCCATTTCAGCAGAATCCACTTGTAAAGCCCTGGAGCTTTGAGCCTCACTCTGCTCTGCCCGCCTGGCTCTGCCCGCCTGGCTCTGCTTACCCAGAGCCCCACTCTCTACCCCAGCCCTGCCCCTACTCTCCCTCCCCAGCAGGCAGGGCCTGGCCTCCCCCTGACCCACTGCAACCCCACCTGATAGCTTTCAGAGGGGCCCATTCCTGTTGAGCATCTTGACATCCTGGGATGCCCCAAGGGTCTCAGATGTGGGGGATTGGTCACTGCCTTGCCCTTGACTTCCATCAGCACAGTCTGTGCCCACTGCCCCCTTGCCCAGCGCTGAGGGTGTTGTGACATCACAGGATAGCAGGAGGGGACAGGCTCTTCCTTACAATCCTACTTAGGCCTTTTAAGTTCTAGATGGAGAAATGGAGGTCCAGCAAGGAAAAGGACTTGCTTGTCCAGAGCGACACGACGGGCTGGTGTGCAGAGCCATCATGACCACACCGTCTAGAGGAGGAATTGTAGGAAAACGGCCATGCAAACTTAGGTTCACATCCTGGCTCTGGTGAGGAGGCGTGCCTTCCACACGTGATTTTACTACTCTGCACCTCAGTTTGCTCAAATGGTGCTCATGACCATCGTCCCAGGCTGGTGTGAGAATGGTGAGTTGATCACAGCTGATGCAGCAAAATGGAATGGGCCCTCCAGTCCATAGACAGGCAGAAGCAGACACCACCTCTAAATTCTGGCCCTTCGCCTTATTCCACACCTTCCCAGGAGCCACAGAAACTGCTAGAACCAGCAGGGATAACATGAGGCTCTGGAAGATAAGCTGTGGGTTCTGGGGTAGAAGGTGAGGAGTCAGGTTGGGCCATTTCACTCAGGCCTCTGGGCAACGCCTTCCTCCCCTAGTCAGGAGGAGTGGCCACTCCAGGCTCAGGGCAGGGGGTGAGTTCCTTGGGTCCAAGCCAAAGCTCTGCATGAGGAGGAAGATTGAGCTCCCCAAGGGCAGGGCCTGTCTCCCTCACTTCTGTATCCTGGCACAGCACATAGCAGAGAGTTTACACTGCCCTGCCACAGTGAGAGGCAGCTCAGGACAGATCTTAGTAGCTGGTACAGGGAAAGCACCCAAGACCATCTGCCTAGCCTGCTCCCTGCCCAAGTCCCTCATCCCGGGCACACCCTGTAGCACATACCCCAACACATCCTCCAACCGCTGCCCTCCTCCCTCTGCCCTCACAGGAATCCCAGGCCCCATCTGCTCCACTTCCCTGCATCTCCCCTGAACATCTGCACTGCTCCTGAAATCTGGCTTCAGGCTCCATCCAGAGGGAACAGCTGGAGGGAAGAGGAGACTCCTGGGTCCAGTTAGACCTGAGCTGGGGCCAGGGAAGCCTCTGCCTGACCCCCTCTCCCTGCCTGCAGCTGCCAGAATGAAGAGGCCTAATGGGACCCTGGTCCCCATCTCCTACTTCCCCTACCCTTGGGTACACCCTCACCTGTAGAGTGGTAACTGTTCCCTTCTCTCATGCACACACAACACAGCCTACACAGCCTCCCCAACAACTGCCCAAGGGTCACTCCATTCTCTTAGAGGAAAGGTAGAATCTGAATTTAATATCACTGAACTGTACTCTGTAAAATCGTCAAGATGATAAATTTTATGCTATGTGTACTTTACCCCCCCCCGGCGCCCGCCCCCCACAACAACAACAACAAGCCCAAACCATAATCTGCTTATGTGTTTAGCTTTGAACTCTACATGCAAAGGTTCCCAGGGCTTCCTAGCAAGAGCTGTGCTCCAGAGCTACAGCCAGACCACAGGCTGCTCCTCCGCCTCCCACTCTTCCTGGTGGAGTAGTGGGATCCTTGGATCTAGCGAACCAAATTCTGAGTCCCAGGTCAGAGTCTCAGCCTACGAGGGCCAGGGTGGAAATGACCCTTGCCTATATTCTCTGTCCCATCACCTCTTCCCTACTTCCAAGTCCCTACGCTCTGCAGACCACGCAAGTTCTTTTGTTGTTTTGTGAGAGGACCTCTGCCCGGCGGGGTGCTCTCCGTGGTCCTGAACCACCCGGCCTGGAGCCGAATTACTTCTCCCTGACCTTGA